GATGTATTATTTATCTAATCGTATTTATATATTTATTTATTTATATTATATTTGGGTTATGGTCGCAGTAAGGAGATATTGTGTGGTTTTAACGGTTTGTAGGATGTCTCTTTCTTTCAGAAAATTAAGTTAAATGTCGTTTGTGTTGCGGTTATTTTTGTTGCTCTATCCAAATAAATATCATTATTGTTTGTTATAAATTTTAAATATTTTATACGTGTAACTCACTTCCATAATCCCTCATTTTGGAAGGTTTCATGAGCGATATTTAAATAAAAAAATAAACGGGAGCCTTCCGGGTGTTCGACCTGAGTTCAGACGTAATTTATTGTCTTTTATTTGCTGTATTTATTATTTCCCTTTTTTAATACTTTCCCCATGAATACAACACCTCACAAGTACCTTGGGTTACTAAATAAATGAGCTTTATTACCGTAAGTATATATTTTATTTATTTGTCGTAATTTAATATAACATTTGCCGTGTTATATTTCTTTTATCACTTGGGGTGTAACTTTAACAGATTCTTTGCTGGGGGGGGGGGGTGTGTACGCTTACAACTTATAACCAGCAACTTTCCTGAGCTAACACTTACCGACGCATCTCTATATCTATATATTTTATCTACTTTTACTTGTTTGAAAATTTGTACAATTGAGGCGTTTCTCGGAAAAACATCATTAGTCCAATATCGTCGAAATTTAGATATAAGCACCAACTGTTTTCTAACCTCCATATATACGTATACAAATAAGTGTTTCTCGTAAAAATTCCATAGGTTCCATAATAATTAAATATGAAATTTAGCTTGTTCTTCTAAAAACATCACAAGTCCACTCCGTTTCGTCTAAGAAAGTCACATGTGCATAACATGTGACGTTTTTGGACACTCTAGAAAAGCTTCTACCTCTTTTACATGACCAGAGCAATAGAAAATTTTATGATAACTTGATAAAAGACCAGAAGACCATAGCACCTGACAGTCCTGATAACGCGGTCGACAACGATAATAACAGCAGTGGATGCGAAGGCTGAGTGTGGCAGTAATACAGTTTTTAGTTTTTTCATTTATTTTGTTGCTCAGAGTTAATATTTAGTTTGTAGTGTTTGTAGTAAGGAGAATTGTTCGTTTTTTTCTTCTAAAAACCTCAGATGTTCATGTATTTGTTGTGTTTTTTTCATATTTGTTTGAAAAAAAAACATGAGGAATTCTGGACAAAGTATCTTACATTTTTTTACATGTAGTAAATAAGTCAATAAAGTACTTTGGTCAAAAATGGGAATGTCGGAGAGTTTTTTTCATTTTCCCAAATATGTTAATTTTGGACTAATGATGTTTTTCCGAGAAACGCGTCAATTATAATGGTATACCATTAAACATGACGATTGTACAAATTTAAAATTTGTGGATGCTACTACATAGTACTACATGATAGTAGATAGTATAAAATATCCAGGTATAGAGGGGCATCGGTAAGCGCTTGCGCCCGTACGATTTGTGCGTCTTGTAAAAAGTCAATTTATAGATTTCCGTGTAAAATTACGTAACCATGCGCGATGACACCTAAAATGGTTGACATTTATTTTTGTTTATATTTTGCGTTTTACCCTTTGTGTGTAAATATGAAAGATAATCATTTATATATTAGTGCAGTGATCACAATTTTAATTGCCCAGGCAGCTTGTTGCCCAACTATCGAGAAAGACAGTAACTGCTAGACAAGAAATTTGTGGGAAATTAGCATAAACTACATTTTTATAAAAAGCAGTAGGTATTTAACTGATTTATTTAACTTAAAAGATAGTTTACTGCATTTCTTTGTTGAATTAAGATACAAAATGTCCATAGCTTTATCATAGCACAAGAAAACGCATTTTTAGTTACTGCCTTTCTTCATAGTAGGGCAGTATAATGAAAAAAAACATCGAACAAGACGTTGGACCGGGAAACTACGGGGTTTTACAAAGCAACGTTTCTAAAAATGAAAGACATTGATCATAAACAATATCTAAATATCCTATTTAGAGACACAAATTATTTAATAAACTAAATACCTACCTTAAATAATACTAAACAATCATGTATTTTAAATATTTTGTGTCTACAAGCACTGTGATTGGTCATGTCAAAGACCTTTACGGTGAAAGATTAAACTTAAAAATTTCTACGGGAGGAAGGAATGCCGTCCTTACGATACGGAAATCTATAACTGGCACTACGATTTAAATAAACATTTTTGACGTAATTGTCACCATTAACATTGCCCGCTATTAATTTTAATTAAACTTAACAATTATTGATACTTTAAAATATTAAAATAACTTCAAAATATGATTTTGTTAAGAAAATATTTTATTCTTTGATTTTTTTTATTACTATAATTGCAAAATATTATCACAAAGTATTAAAAATTCCTACACGGTAAATGTTAATGGTGACAATTACGTAATGTTCATCTTCTACGGGAGAAAGGAAGGCAGGAAGGAAGGCAATCTATAATTCAGGCTTTAGTCACTATCTGACTGAATGAATTTTTGCCTTGCCATTAAGAAACACCCCTTTTTCTAATTTGACACTGACAGCCCTAACAAATATTTACCTTATGTCGCCACCATATGGTTAGCAATGTTGCAAACTTTCTAAAAGTAGATCCGCTGAAAACCCGCCAGATTTCTGATTTAAAATGACTATAGAAAAATGGCGCCCCAGGCAAAGAGCGCCGCATTCAATTTTTTTAAGTAAGGTTACATAGGTTTAGCACAAAAAACGAGATACGCCTTTACGTATTTTCAACAGCGATTTGGATTTTATTCGACGTTCTTTCGGAGATCCGATTTTGGTCCATTACATTGCGACATCCCAAGGACGTTCGACATTCGAAATTTTTAAAGTTTCCCCTAAAAATCTGCTGTCCGCTAAAAACATTACACTTTAGTCGTTTTTTCGCGTAAATACTATGAATAAATAAGTTATGACGTCACAGTTAATTCGTGGTTTTTAACATTTGTTTACTTCTTTATAATTTGGAATTTTTTAGAAGTGTTTTAAACTATTTATATTATTTTTCTATATTAATTATTGGTATTTTATGATGATACGAGTATTAAATATTTTTTTAAAATTTTAAGCTATAAACAAGATCCTAACATTTCAAAAATAAAAATTATTATTAATAATTTTGCACATAAATAAATACAAATTAAATGTATTACAAATAAGTACCTTTAAATAATTTAATTTAATTATTAGTGGTGGTAGTAAAAGTTTCAATTATATTAAATTATTTATTTGTTTGTTATTAAGACCCACATATATATATATATATATATATATATATATATATATATTAGGGTGTTTCAAAAAAATCGACTTTTTCTTTTTCTTCAAATGGTCAGCAAATTCTTTCAGAGGATGTCAAAACAAAGACCTCGTTAAAATTTGAGCTTTTAATTTGAAGATTTAGAGGTCGCGGATCGCAATTTTCTATTTCCCATTTAAATAACATAGGAATTTTTTTTTTTTTACTTTGAAATTTTATACGTCTATATCGAATCAACTTATGGCAAGGAACATCTTGGATTTTTATAGTAAATTTAACGCTCTATAAAAAATGTCTCTTATAATTTTTCTATAAATTGATTTCTTCCAGAGTTATTCGAGGCCAAAGTTTTATTTCCATCGAATTTTCTCGTTTTTTCAACTTTTAGCATCATGTAGTAAAAAAATCACATATTTATATCTGAAACATAGGAAGTGTTGTAAAAAAAACAAAAAAACAAAAAAAACGTCACTTTTTTCCAAAGCCTACTACAAAGTTTTAATGAAAATATGAGATGTGTATAATATGCAGAGTAATTTATTTATAAATGCATTTTTCTCGAAAATGGTGCATCTGAGCAATTCAAATCAGTACCTATTTTTCGTAAAAAACTATAAATTCTCATAATTTCATAAAAAAAATTAAATTATTAACCCAGAAAAAAGTTGGGGCTATTTTTGTAACTTTGCCCCCTCCAAATGTTACGCCTATGATTAAATTTTAACAGTTTTGATCATAGATCTAGATTCAGCATGTCAAAATTACCAAAATACCGAAAATTCATTTGTTCATGTTCAACCCTCTATAGGAATAGTTTTCAAAAAAAATTATCCTCTTAGGCTCCTATTCAGGGGGCCGTAGCTCCTTTAGGGAGCATTTTTTGATACATGTTTATTAAACAAAAAAAGTGTTATTTTTATACGAATAATGCACTATTTAAGTTTGGCCCCCTGATTTCGGGACACCCGTATAATGAAAATTGTACCATAAATGTTAAAAAAACGCTAATATTCGATGGAAATCAAACTTTGGCCTCGAATAACTCTGGAAGGAATCAATTTATAGAAAAATGATAGGAGACCTTTTTTGTAGAGCGTTAAATTTACTATGAAAATCTAAGATGATCCTTGACATAAGTTGATTCGATTCAGAGGTATAAAATTTCAAAGTTAAAAAAAAAAAATCCCATGTTATTTAAATGGGAAATAGAAAATTGCGATCCGCGACCTCTAAATCTTCAAATTAAAAGCTCAAATTTTGACGAGGTCTTTGTGTTGACATCCTCTGAAAGAATTTGCCGACCATTTGAAGAAAAAGAAAAAGTCGATTTTTTTGAAACACCCTAATATATATACATATATATATATATATATATATATATATATTTAGTTATATTTTTTTTCAAATAATCAATTATTTTTTTTATATTTTCCACAAATTTAATTAATACTAATTTACATACATATTTTACGATTTTACTTTAATAATATAATTTTGTAAGCCATAAAATTTACAAGTTTGCAAAATATAAAATATACTGAAAGTTTAATGTTTGTATCATGATTTATGGTGGCTATAATTACCCATTGTTTTTGCATTATCCCGGCGCCTTCGCCAATTTTAATAGAAAATGGTAATGCAAATTAACAATAGGTAATAGCTACCATAATATAAATACTAGTAACTTATATGCTTTGGTTCCTTTATTTATATTAACAATATATTATTACAATAATTAACCCTTGTGTGCTGTGTTTTATTTTTTATTTTTTACTTATTTGTTTTATCAATAAAATATTAATGCCTATAAAAATGTAGATAATGTATTTACACATAACTAAAATTAAAATTCAGTTGTACATCTAAAGGGCCTGGCACGTTCCTCGAAATGATATTTCAGTACCTAAAATTAAAATAAAATTATATTAATTAAAATTATAACAGTAAAACAAATCATATTTTTTTTAATTAAACATCTACGATTTTTGCTAAAAAAAATTATGTGTTTTTAGATTCTTTATTAACTCTTTACAAAAAATAATCCAATATTTAGATAATTTACTCTTATCATAAATAAACCTTGCATATTCCCCATTCAAAAGTAGAGCACGGTGGGCCTAAATATTGTTCGAAGACCATACTCTTTATTATACAAACGGTGGTAGCCAAAAGTATGAAAACTTTTTAATAAAATAAGTAAATTGTCTTTACAATATTTATTTTTGCTATTTTTCTCTATTATTATTTGCATGTTTTATAGCCCAAATTTAAATTACTGAGTTTAGGTTTAAGAAAAAAATTACCAATAATAATAACCTGGACAAAAGTATGGAAACTTTATGAAAAAAATACAGTGGATAACCCAAAAAATTTCCAAAATTGGACATTTTAATTTAGTATTTTTCAAATGCCCTTGTTTTAAGTTTGAAATTTGTAACAACTTATTGTTGACGGATATGTAGCTTGTAGACATTTTTTTAGGCAAAAGATTGCATTATTTATAGAAAGAAAGCCACACATGTAATAATAATTATTAATAATATACAAATATTTTTTATTTAAACAAAATACAGAATGTTTAATTCTAGTTTGTTTCATTTACATTTTACATAAATAACTGTAAAAAAACTAAAAATATACTTTTTTATTGAGGATGATTGAGTTTCTGTTTAGAAAAAAACTAAAATTCGTATTTGCTGGATTTTTTAAATTTATATATTAACATATTAACTTTTTCAAGAGGTCCTACCTAATGTGGTCTTTTTTTAACAAAATATTTATTCTTAAGGGGTTACATACATTCGTGCTGGGTAAAAAAATCGATTTTTTGATTAAATATTCTTACAATATATACTTTTAAGAAAATGTACTTAAAATTTCATCAAGATCGAAGCACTAGAACTTATGTTATAGCAATTTATAGCGCGCTACCTTACAAACATTTTTAAAACTTTAAACGCGTTTATCTCGGAATCGTATTTTTTGAAAACTGCTGTTGCCGTGAGCATGATTTCTCGAAAACCAATTTACCGATCGATGTTGGGGGTGATGCTATATTCTAATATAGATTTTTTTTTCATTAAGATTTGTTTGACGGTTTTCGATATTTTATGCTCACCGCAAACGCTTGAAAAAAAAGACGTTTCAGGGCAAGGGCTGTATTTTACACAATTTTACATATTTTCGCATATTTTTTTTACAAATACTCCGAAACATACCCTATTCGATACTTTATAGTTCGTTTCAAAATAATTATTATTATATGTTTACCAAAAAAAATCACCAAAAAACGTTAATTTTTACGAGCTCATATGTATGTAACCCCTTAACAGAAAACAATAAACAAAGTAAGCTACACCAGTTGAATAATGAAAAATATTGTTCCACTAGTTAACAAGGAAAAGAACACAATTGTAAATAATAAAATACGGCTTTTTTACATACAGATGTTTCATATTTACATACATAAATATGATTTTAAACATTGTTCGCTTATTAAATTAAATTTACAATTAAACTTTAAATAAAAAAACATAGAACGACATTACAATTGGTTCATAAAATGTTAATTTTTAATTATGAACTCGCATTTTTGCCACGCTCGCTTTTCTTGTGTGTCAATCGACCATTTTTGAAAAAAATACTACTTTATTTAATAAACTTAAATTTAAAATACTTAAAAGTAATATTTTGTCGATTAGGGAATGTATATGGGTTGTAAATATGCTGTAGTTAAAAAGGAAAAGCATAAGCTAAATAAGTATCGGGTTTTCGCGCGCGACATCTGGCACCGATTATACATTATTTTTAAATAAATAGGTAGTTTTTTTTTACAAAAGAGAGGAAGGCAGAAGTCTTACTCGACAAATTTTGTTCAATTGCACAGCTAAATCGCGCACGTTATTCGTGTTTTACGTTGCAAGGAAAAAATTAAAAAACTTTTTTATAAAAAAGTTTTTTAATTACTATAGTACTCGATTTCGATTGATTATTCCTTATATCATTGATTAAGAAACTCAACGCTTAAATGCTTATATAGTTACGATAGTGTGTGTATTTTATCAAAGGGATCATGGTGAATTATTGTGTTTTTAATTGTAATTAAAATTCAAGAACTAAATCGTTGCATTTTCATGTTTTGCCAAAGGATCCAATTCGGTAAGTACATTTGTTGGTGCAGAATTAACTAATGATATACTTTACCTAATATAATTTATATTTTAGTTTGCACATTTTAAAGAAATTATTAAAAAATAATTTGTGCACAAACAACCTTAAAATCAATCATTTTTATATTTGAGTTCTCTAAAAAACGCCGACAACTGCATTTTAAACAACAAAATATACATACAAATTCAAGGCAACATAATATTATATATAATACATAATATAATGGTATTCAATGGTAATCAACGATTTTAATAATGCTAAATGCTGTTTAAATTTAGACGACTTATTTGTTTGACGATTTTTACTGAATTAAAATGTTTACACTTTTTACGTTAATCACTACTAAAATGTGTATTTATTGTCTCTAATAGGTACAATTTATATTTATGCAATTTATTTCTTTATTCAGATTAACACTGTTTATTGGAAACCCGGTAAAAACTCAACCCAGGATTTCCTCTCGAAATACACCCAACAACACAACAAATCGATCCACGGTTTTTCTTTTGATATTTTTTAACATTTTCCGGCTTTATTCTCAAAAACACTTGTTTGTAACCTAAGCGTTTGACAGCTGATTATTAAAAGTACTTTTGTTACGCTAGTGGCCGAGTGGCGCTACTAGCGATACTTCTAGCGTATATGCAATAAAATATTTTTAATAAAATTTCCAAACTTTTTCAGGCTTTACTTAATTAACATTATGAACTCTTCTTATTTCGTTCATCTTCTTATCTAGAGATTTTTTAAAAATTTTGCATTAAAATATTGAAAATATGTATAGGAAGTCAAAGTATATTTTTTTAATCAATTGGCTAATTTTTTTAAAAAGTTTTTGGCCTTCAATTAAAATATTTCATAAAAGTTTATCAAGTATTTCAAGTATATATATGTATATAACAATTCTCCTTTAACAAAAAAGTAAAACTTTACTATGAGACTAACTTTGCGCCATTTTTCGAACACTCTGTAATTTATTAATTTATAAGAAAATTAAAAAATTAGAATGAAATAAAATAAAGACGATGAATGCGTTTTTTTACTTCTATTACGGAATATGACCGTTCAAATATCACTTTGTATGAGGAATGACATACATATATTCCTAAAAGTGTTACAGAATGAATTATTCATCGGATGACGGAATAAACACTGGAGGCGACATCTCTGTGTTTAATAACTAACTTATAGTACGATCCAACCTCACTTTCTCCCAATTAAATTATTTTTCTATGATATTTTTTGGAAACGTAAAAAAAGTATAGTCTGAAACACGTTTGGAATTGCATATCCCGCTCTCGTGAAACCGTCAAACTCGCCTTCGGCTCGTGTGACAAACTCTTCACTCGAGCGGAATATGCTGTATTCCAAACTTGTTACAGAATATACTATTCATATTTTGTTTTAATAATTTTTAATTCCAATAAAATCAATTTAAACAAAAAATGTGTTAATTTAACTTACTTTTGCCGCATCTTTGCGCACACCTTATTTTGGCCTCATTCTGGTAAGTAACGCTATCAGTTCCACAAACAGGATTGTATTCTTGCGTCGTCAAACAATTATTTAAACATCTGGTATACGAGGGTGATGGAGTCGTCGTTGTTGTAAAATCTGCTTGTCTTATTTTTCTTGCTGGCGATGCCAAAATTATTTGAACCAATGCCAAAACTACTAAATAAACAATAATACTTAATAAAAAAATAATAAATAAATAATTATATAAAGGTTGTCACTAAAATAGAGTACTAACGGTAGTTATTTATGGAAACCAAATATACAACTTTTAAAGTGGGGACTAACTTTATAAATGTCGATATTTTTTTTAGTTAAATTAGGATGAACAGCTTCCTGACCAATGATATTTGTTTTAAGTATTTGATTAAATATATATACAGGGTGTTATGTAATTAATGTTATATTTTAAAATGGGTTGTTTCTTAGGGTCCATAAAGAAGCACCTGAAACTTTTTTTTTCTAAATTCCAAAGACTAAAAATAATTTATAATAACCTTTATCCTACCAAAAAGTACGCCACTGATCGACTAGGAACTTTAGGCTAATCTGGTTGCCTAATTTAATTTATTATGTTATGGTTGGTAACAACAGCGTTTCCAAATTCTCTCAAAAAAGTTGACAAACATTGTTTAAATTTAGCTTAATTACAAAAATGATAAAATTAACAATGCAAATTGTCAATTAAGCGTTTTTATTTATTGTTGGTTATGTCATTTTTGTACTGAAGGTAAATTCAAACAAAATCTGACAACTTTTATGAAAGAATCTAGTGCATTTCTTTCAAATTTTAGGTTATGTGCTCAAATTGTAAATATCTTAACTAAGGGAAGTGCTTTTGGATTTATTTACACAAATTAAATGTTTAAAGTTTAACCTGTGAACTGGTCCCAATTTCATCTGAGTAAACAGAAAGCAAAAAAAACCGATGAAAAAGTTAATTTTGTGGTTATGGTAATTATTAATTGTTTCGACCTTTACTTGATGAAACTCCATATTAACTATGTGGATATAAATAAAACAACTTTGTTGTAAAGTTTCAATGGTTATGGATTTTTTAAAATAGGTACTAAATTTTCCAATCATTGCTTAAGCTAATAGCTGGATGAGTAAATAAATACAGAGGGCATAAAACTTTTGTATTTATTAAGTTTTTATTTATTTTTTGCAAGAAAAATTTTTAGTAACAATTTTTTACATATTTAAAACACAAGTGTACAGAGATAAACAAAGTGTGTAACCAGTGGCTTATCACAAAAAATATATAAAACTTCTAATGCCTATTTTTTCTTTGGAAAAATATTTTTTTAAATATTTTTCCTTTACTCCTTATGTCAAAAGGTATTCAGTATTTTAATATATAACATTAATTACAAAACATATATACAAATTTGAATGTTTGCATTCAAAAGAAACGGTTTTTTTTAATATCTGCAAAACTAAGTCCGTTTAAACTTTTCTTATTATTTTTGTTTTATGGACTACTAAATATTTCCTATTAAAATTTTAGACTAATTTTTGTTCTAACGTCTAAAGTTTCAAGAGTAACGCGTAGCGGAGGCCATCAATTGACCAAGTACAAACACACATTTTATCTTGTTTTTTTTTTAAATTTAATGCCCTTTTATTTGTTAAATGATACCTATATAAAACGCACATAAAAAGTAGAAAGTGAGGTTAGAACCGTCTGACAGAAGTCCAATTAAAGATTTGAACCCCAATCATAAAGTTAAAATAACAGTGATTAATGAAATCGGCCAATCACTGACCCCTAAAAAGTAATTACCAGCCCATAATGATTTTTATGGATATTAAATTTTAATTTATAGTAAAGAAAAAAAATGTGAAATAAGTACCTATTTTTCAGCAGATGATTAAAAAATATAAATTGTGTCAATTCAAAAACTTTTTTAAATATAGTTGGCCAATTTTATATTTATAAATAAATTGGTTACTTGGTACTGTTAAATAAATTATTATTATTATGCTATTGTAATATGTGAATAAGTAAAATAATAAAAAGCATTTGGTATACCAAAGAAAAAATTTAAAAATATGGATAAATTATAAAAATCTTTACCATCGCATACTAAAGAAAAAATTTAAAAATATGTATTATCTATAATAATAGTTTCTTTTATGAACATTTTGACATTTTACACATTACCTAAAATAGTACATTAAGTTGTTAGGAGGAAAAGTGATTTTTCTACGACCACTATGTAAAAGTCACTTTTCATGATGGCATCGTTGCTTAGAAAATGAATCTTTTCATTGGCAAGGCAAAGCACGAATGTAAAGTGACATTTCTGTGTGAAAAGTGACAGGTCTGTGTGAAAAGAAATTGACAGCATCGTTTGACATTTAAAAATAATAAAAAATAAAAGGTTCGTAGAAAAAACATTGTGTTATATATACTTGTGAGAAAAGCTTTCTTCAAGCTCGTGTTAATGCACACTCGGCCTAACGGCCTCGTGAGCAACTTAAAAACTAGCATGAAAAAGTCGCTCTTCAACACTTGTAAAACAAATAACTATTTTTGTGCTTGATGACTCAATGATATGCTTTCTCTAAAGGCATAGGCGGAGGCAAAATTAATGAAATAGAGTAAAAAAGATTTTTTTATCGATTTATTGTCTACGCTATTGTAACTCATTATTGTACTAGAAAAATAAAGTTATTATTGTACTAATACAATAATGAATAACTTTAAAGGGCTGAGTTTGAGGCTAATAAAATTGATATTATACTCGTATTATGTTAGAAGATAAAATATTATTAATAAAGAACAATTAGAAAATCTAAATTAAAGTAAAATTAAATAAACCTTATTTAAAAAATATTAAAATTTTATTATCACTATCGGAAGCTGTTCATATAACATATAAGAATTTTGCACATATTAATAGGTTTTAAGGAAAGTCACGTATTATTATTATTATTATTATTTAAGGTTAAAATTGATTAGTATAAGAAACAATAAATTGTTAAAAAAATATATAAAAAAGCAGAGACGATAAAAATTCTCGCCTTGGTCACGAAAAGAAAAAAATACAAAATTGAAAACAACATCAAGGCTTATTATGAGTCAAACTTTATTGATAAGAATAGATATCTTAAAATTATTTTAATTTTGTCTGTAAAAGGTTATATTTGTATTTATTAACTCAATATTAAAATTAAATAAACATTTAAGGCATAGCAATTTTATACATTTTTTTTTAATATCCACCAGATATTATTTTTTTTTTTAATTAAAATGTTTGGTACTTACCGATTAAAATGTAACGCAATTTGTTGTCCATCTTAAATTAATTATTGAAATTTTCAAGTGAACCTTAAACCACAATGTCAACACATAAACTGATTTTTAAAAAACTTTTATAACATATTTATATTACTGTAGAATACAAAAACCGTGACGTCGTTTTTTAGTAGATTTCTTCAAAACCAGATTCCTTACGGGTAATTCCTTAAGAATGTAGCACTATTATGTTTGAAAAAATCATTATGTTTGTTTGTGTTACTTAAGTAATTTTAAATTAAAGCATGTAAATTAAATGTTGTTCTTATTGCATGATTAAAGCGATTTGATACGGATAAAAGGGTAATCCCAATGTCATGAATCATAATAAATAAATTAAATACTACTGTCTAATATTGCTTATTTTTAATATGGGTCACTTTACAGATAAATTATAAGGTTTTATAAAAATTAAACATTATAAAAAATGTGTCAAGTGCTATAATAGCATAATAATTATATAAGTAATAGAAAGGGGTTTGATTATAATTTATTTATCTAATTAATCAACTATTAATTACAATAAGATTATATAACTTATAAAATCTTATCTACATAAATAAAGATGATTCCTATTTCCTTTCAGGATTATGAATTAAATGATGTGGAAAAACTGCTTCTATATCGATTGTTAGTGTAATTTCAAAGAATAAATTTTGATTTACACAACAAAATTTGAGATTTTAACGCCGGTAGATTCCCAAGTTAGAAATTCTAATGGGAATTCCAATAAATACAATTGTCACTTTTTGTACTTTTAACATTTCCCCTGTAAGAATTTTTAATAATTTGTGATAATATTTTGCAATTATAGTAATAAACAAAATTAAAGCATAAAATATGTTCTTAACATAATCATATTTTGAAGTTATTTTAATATTTTAAAGTATCAATAATTGTTAAGATTTATTAAAATAATAACGGGCAATGGTATAGGTGAAAATTTTATTGGGATGGTACTTTATTGTCGTATTGTCATTTTTTAGATAATATTAAGTATTTTTTATACTCCCACCTTTAAAACGCCCTTTATCGTACATGTTTCCATGATACTAAGTGTCCTTTTAAATACACATTGACAAGTTGTGGCTTTATGGCGCTTTAGTCACGTTTTTGTCAAATGTCATACAATCGTTAAAATAAATTGCCTTTTTTGTAAAATAATACTAAATGTGAAAATTATTTTATTATCTCAATACAAAAATACAAAAGTATTAAATAGTTTCTCAACGCCAATATTTGAAAAGTTTATATGAACTTTTAATTTCGCCGGCAGTAAACTATAACTTAAATTCGGGCACTGTAAAGTGCTCATAAAACATTTTCTTTACTTTCACTGTGAAAAACTGTCAATTTTTAAGAAATACATTTCGATTTATAACCTTTATAATTGTGTTTATAAAATATAAAAATTTTACATTTGACGGTGAAACACAGATTTCACTATTGTTTCATAGATGGCGCTCAATACAAATTTTTGATTTAAATCATTTTAAGATAATATAAAGTATTTGTCGTAGAAAAAGTATAGTATGCACCTCGTTTATAAACGTTTCTATACACTCATTAATTTAAGCACTTGCTCGCAAGCTCGCTCGTGCCTAAATTAAATTCGTGTATAAAATGGCGTTTATCAAACTTAGATAAAGTAGGTATAGTATGCAATTTATTTATAAACTTTTCTAGACACTAGTTTTTATTAAACATATAAAATAAAATTGGCTTTAAATTTCTTTCGCCAAAATTGTTCTTTAATTGTTTATAATTTTTATTTAAACTGTTAACTCCTAACTGATTTTTTAAGGTTTATTGACCGTTTTAAAGCACTTTTTAATGATATAAGACGCCTGGAAGTAATTTTGATTGTAAAGTTCGTTCCTTATATTTATATTTTCTCACTCTTTCAAAGAGATTAGAAAATGTTCTTAACAATGACCATTCCTATGGTTTAATGACCTTTTATGTAAGTACATCATGTTTTCATTAAATAAAACTATAATTTGCTTTCGTTTCGCTACATATATTTGTCAAGAGTGATAAAATCTAAAAAAATAATGTCATGACTGTAAAATGTCAAATTGACAGTTATATTTGTTTTTTATAATTTACTTGTTAATTATTATATAATATCGATATAAAAAGATAACTAGGTATGCCAAAAATAATATTAGAATCTGATCTAGGATATTATTTTTGGCATCTTTTTATATCGATATTAGTAAGAGGAGTAAAAGAACTTTTAAGGGCAAAACTTCATTTCGATGAAGTTATGCCAAATGCCTCAAGGGCAGAAAAAGTACATAGCCTTATGGACATTTTTGGAGTAAAAAAGTAACGTTTTTGGTTTTACAAATATTAAATCACCCATTCACCATTGGAGTCCAATGATTGGACAACATTCACGTGTGTTCACATAAAATTTTAATTTATTTTATATAAATTCTTTTCAAAGCGAAGATTACTATCCGCTAGGAATACTTTGTCTCTCCTGGGCCGTAGTCACCTATATTTAACTACTTTTTTTATTTGATTTTCCTCATCTACGCACCACCAAAGCCAAATTAATTGCATTTTTGACAACCCAACTTGACTTAACTTTACAACCGTTCAATGTAACCTACAATAATTTAAACATAACCACAATTACATTATAATTACATTAATTAGGTACATTTAGTTTAGTTTACTTTGTTTTAATTAATGCAACCAATTTTGGTTCCGTATTTAAATAATTACCAACAAAACCCCTAAACTTGCAACGTTGCCGCAGTCCAGATAAAAAAAATGAACTTTAAGTTCTAAATTCTGAATGCAACTTAACCTTATTTTCAGAGTTGTTTAACTTGTGAGAATTGTACGTTTGTAACTGTTACAATGTAACATATGATTGTTCAATTTTTTTCATAAGAAATCTAGATTGGTCTACAAAATAAGAGGGCGCTAGTGTTCTTTTTGTTGTTTGGTTTGTACCGGTAACAGCAGACGTCAGCAGATAAAACAACAGCCGATATTTGTTTTGATATGGAGAATGTTATTATTCTTCCACGATCTAATATTTCCTGTTTCTTTTATTTAAAAAAATTAAATTAAAATTAAAAAATTAATGTATTCTGGCGGTCCTTATAAGGATAAAAAATTATATATAATTTTTATTCAGCAAAACTCCTTTAAAGTGTTTTTTAAATTTCTCTACTTCTATAGCTAGGTTACCACCATTTTTTAATATACGATATTCTTTGCAAACGCCATATTTTGGTTTAAGAAATTAGTAATTGAAGATGCTTTGATAAAAGCTCTTTTTAACGGGTGTAATATTTTTCTTATTACATTCCTTGTATATTTTATTGTTAGAATTTAAAAAAAAGCAAGTGAAATACAATAAATAGATAACAGAATAAATTTTTCACCATATTTTCTTGCTTTTTTTGCTTTTAGCACGAAATTAGGACACAAAAGAGCTCTCATGTATCGCAGAAATTACAGTCTTAAACTGAAATTTACAGAATTATAATGCTAGCTCTATCTCCAAAATTCCGACAATCCCATTGGCGAAGCAGATAGAAAATTATAATGATTTGGTATTGCTGGAAATAAAATATAGAACAATTTTCAAATGCATTTTGTAGCTTAAAGAGTAATAAACATTGTTTCAAGTCATTGTAAATATAACCATATTCATTAAAATATCTTAACCAAGCTAAAATCCCAGATTTGGAAAAAAGTGCAGATAGAACAATATAATTCTCGCCTCGCGAGATGTCGCGTTAAAAGTCTTCGATTTGGCGTGGAATTCCCCATATACGTATATACGTATATATGTATGTAGTTAGGCGCTCTTAATGCCTAAAGAGCTATATAATATCCACCGCCCATGGGCTAAGTGTCCGCGCAGACTATCCCGCGGCATCAAATCCTAACATTTACTAAAAAAATATTGTTTTAATATTTTAGTAATAAATATTAAATGTTTAAAATTAAAAATTTTGGGGAACAAATCAAATACATTTTTTTCTATTATAATAGGAAATTATATTATATATAAATTTAATAGGAAATTTTATTATAATTTTATGAATTACTTCAATATCAAATATTTCAAAGAATCTTAGGAAATTATAACAATAACTCCTTCACGAACATTTACCTTAATTTTTTGTGAAAATTTACTAGAATTTCTAGCCTAGAAACTGTTGTTAATATACATTTTAAATATTTTTGAATTTTCCGAATATTAATATTAATATGGCTTCCAAATATTCTTTTAAATCAATCTAAATTTTTATAATTTTGGTAAATGTTGTTACTTATAATGTTTAGTGGGGTGCATTGAAACAAAAATTCCTACATCTAGATATGAATTTTGTTTTCAATTTTCTACCATTTGGCCACTTGAAAAGGGTTTTATGTCGAAAATAATTACAGATAAGATTTTTTTAGCCGTACGTTAATTTATATACCTACATTGGATAATTTTTTTTGCAAATTTATGTAAGGAAAAAAATTATTATTTTAAAAATTTACGTAAAATCAATAGTTTACGAGATAAACGAGATATTTGGTAACTCTCGGCACGATTTTGCTTTGTACTTTTGAGACATTAGTAATAATTTCCATAAGAACAAGTTTCCGAAAAATCTTACCAGGGATTATTCCGAAGTAAAACCCTAATTTGCAGTATAGCAAAAAATTGTATGTTGTTTTGGTATTTACAGAATATAAAACAAATGACAAACATAAACTTAATTTTTCATGGTCTTAACAATATTTTTAATTTATAACAATACAAATCCTATTTACTTATTGTTAAATGTGGTGCAATTTAAAAAATTATGGTCAAAGCTGCTTTGAATAAATTAAATTATTGTAGACGAACTCCACCGCCTCCTGGACATTCTCCCTGGCTTATGATTTTGTAATCTAAAAAAAAATATTTTTGTAAAATCACGTTTATATTCGGTAATTTCATTATATGGGAGGAATTAATTTACACAAAAATAAAATATCTATGTCATCTAATTTAAAACATAATTAATTAATAAAAAAGCAAAACGAAAATTAGCTGGAGTGCAAATCCGCTGGCCTTCACTGCAAAATATAACAATAATATTAAGTTACAGAAAAATCATTAATTTTGTTGTTTGTTTTTTATAAATTCCTTTTTAGAGTAAATAAAATCTGTTTAATACAATACAACAAATTTGAATCGATAAATTTATGCCCATCCAACAAACAAAAGTATTTTCATAATTTATGTTAAAACAATAATATTATGTTTAGATAAATTTTCCACAAAAAACTTCATTCACTTAAGTTTATGTCGCTAATACATATTTCACTTAGTAAAATATTTAGTAGGTATATACCTACTTTAAATTTTTTTCTTCTTTAAATTTAATTTTTAAATATCATAGGTTAAAAAGAAGTAGTTTTGTAGTTTACCTAATTACCTCAAAAATTTACAATATTTTTTTATTATAAACTAATGACAGCAGAAAAAATACCCACAGGACACATGTGACTGGAGGCTTTAGAATACTTTCTGCTATATTGTTTTAATAAAAATTTTTTGGAAAAAGGTTGTTATGGCATTTTCCAAAGGATATAACTTTATTCTACTCCCACCTTTAAAAGGCCCATTATCGTACATGTTTCCATGACACTAAGTTTTCTTTTAAATACACATTGACAAGTTGTAGGTTTTTAGTCACGAGATAAAGCCAGTTTTAATTTAGATCGCAATTGTCGAATGTGAAAATTATTTTATTATCTCAATATAAAAATACAAAATTATTAAATAGTTTCTCATTTGGAAAGTTTATATGAACATTGTACTGACCTTTTAATTTCGCCGGCAGTAAACTAGATTAAACTTTAAAAATTTTGGGACTTTTAAGGATACATTTCGATTTACACATAAAAAAATTGACATTTTCACCGGCGCGCCCTTAATACAGATTCCCAAGGATGGTTACTCTATTGTTTTATAGATGTCGCTCTACACAAATATTTAATTTAAATCATTTTTAGATAATAATAAGTATTTGTCGTAGAAAAAGTATGGTATGCAACTTGTTTATAAACTTTTCTAGACACTCATTTAATTAAACACTCGCTTGCAAGCTCGCTCGTGCCTAATTAAACTTCGTAAATAAAATGGCGTTTATCAAACTTGATACATAATAGAGTGTTTGTATTTGTTTAACCAAAATATTAGCGATATAGAAATATGTTTTTGTAGAGAACTGCTAAAGGGAATAAAAATAATAACTTATGTTTTTTTCAATGGAAAATTTGTAAACTAGAGAACCTTTTAAAATTGTAATTTTTTTTAATACTTTTTTACACTTTTCAGTAAAACTCACTCATTCCACTCTCGCAGTTAAAGTTGGCCAATACGCATTCGCTTCCATAACTTCTTGGTTTGCTCGCATTATCGCCACCGCAAACTGGTTTGTAGACATCGCCACACTCTTTAAGACATGGCTTTTTTTGGAGGGATGCTTTGGTGGATCCTTTTCCTGGAGCACCACTGGTAAAGGCTACTAAAGCCACTAAAAAATAAACATAATTTTTAATAATTTAATTTGATTTGTGATCCCTCAGTATAAAGGAACTAAAAGAGCAGTTTACAATAGGCACTAAGAGGTCGGTGCCTGATTGTGCCAGCTCTTAAAATAGATTTTTTCTGGCGTAGTCCAATATTGAAACCCAACATTGGCCCGAACTTTGACATTATAACGGGTGATTCGTTTAGACCTTTTTTTTTAAATTATAAATTAAACGCATAAAATGGAATTGAATGCGAAATCTTTATTATGACCTGAAAGAACAATCTCACCCAATAATTGGGTGAAAATAATAAAGGCCAATCTTACATATTACCGAAAGACTAACAAGAGTAATATGCGATTTCTTGTCTTATAATATATTAGCAATAAAATTCCTTATTACGTTAATAAAGCTCAAACTGATCATTTTAGCACACGATACAAACGATTGTAGCATTTCATCGTAATTAAGAATAACACGAATTGTCTTATTGGTAGATTTTTTCAAAGAATTTGACCTCAAAGAACAATTTTGACATTTATTTTTTGAAAATAATTTCATTTAAATGCTGGTCGCGACTATGCCGTACGTGGTCTATTCGGAATGTCCAATTTTTAATCACTATTTCTAGCATTGCGACCGGTATCTGCCCAATTACGCGAGTAATGTTGGTTTCTAAGTCCTGAATCGTACCTGGCGACGAAGACTTGATTTAACATGACCCCAGAAAAAAGTCCAAGGGTGTGATATCACACGATCTAGGCGGCTAATTGACAGGTCCAAAACGCGAAATTATCTGCTCACCAAAATGATTTCTCAATAAGACAATTCGTGTTATTCTTAATTACGATGAAATGCTAAAATCGTTTGTATCGTGTGCTAAAATGATCAGCTTGAGCTTTATTAACGTAATAAGGAATTTTATTGCTAATATATTATAAGACAAGAAATCGAATATTACTCTTGTTACTCTTTCGGTAATATGTAAGATTGGCCTTTATTATTTTCACCCATTTGGTGCTAAACTATAAGGATGGTAGTCGGTTGCGCCACTACTATAGACATATCCTGAAAACAAACGTGTGTCGTTACATATCACTTTTAGAAATCCGAAAGCAATGATATATTGGCATAATATAATATGCCAATATATCGATGACTTTCCGCCAAAGTATCGCAAGCAACATAACTCAAATTTCGAGAATTGAAAACATTTTTTGTTTAAAGTCTGTTTTAAATTAAATATAGCCTAAAGGATTTATAACAGGTAAATAGCTTATAATTATAGCTATTTACTTGTTATAAAACCTATAGGTTATATATGGTTTAAAACAGACTTTAAAACAAAAAATGTTTTCCATTACCGAAATTTGAGTTATGTTACTTGCGATACTTTGGCAGAAAGTCATCGATATATAAATATCCTATAGGACAAACCTTGGATAAACATTGGCAATGAATGAAATTATCATTTTATGCCAATATAGGGCTAACATCGGCTAAATAAATCCAATATTGGCCCCAGATAAAATATTGGGCATAGAACCGTCCCATATAGGACCAATATTTTGTGCTACTGGGGTTTGCTTCGTTCCTGCGTGTAAACCTGTATTATGTTAATAAATTATTCAATTAAAAGTTTTTATCTACTTCAACATAGCTCGCCACTTGATGGCGTTTTAGTCACGGGCTGAAGTTAAAATCAGGTTTTTTGTCACGGGCTAAAGTTAGTTTTAAGTTAGTTGACAGTTCAGTTCAGTTCAGTTTCTTGTAAAATAATACTAAATGTGGAAATTATTTTATTATCTCAGTACCTACAAAAATACAAAAAAATTAAAAAGTTTCTTTATGCAAATAATTAAATAGTATATTATGTATCAAGTTTTATAAACGCCATTTTAGTTACGAGTTTAATTAAGCAGGAGCGAAGCTTGCGAGCGAATGTTTAATAAAAACGAGTGTCTAGAGAAGTTTATAAACGAGTTGCATACTATACTTTATCTACGACGAACACAAAACAGAATTTAAAGCCAATTTTATTTGTTAAAATTTTGACATCTGTCAACTGTCACCCGAATTTAACCTCACTTTTTCCCAATTTATAATAAAGCTAACTTCAGCCCGTGACGTAAAATGTCGAAAAGCCACTGTTGTTAACTTCAGGCCGTCAATAAAACGCCATAAAGTTACAGCTCGTCAATGTAGGAGTAGATAAAAGATTATATGAACGTTTGTACTGACCTTTTTATTTCACCGTAGTGGTGCAGTTAACTAGATTTAACTGATAAAGCGTTAAAAAATTTGCGTACAGTGCCTATAAAACATTCTCTTTTCTTTAACTGTAAAAAACTGCTTCTATATCGATTGTTAGTCTATTTTCAAAGGATTAATTTTGATTTACACAGAAAAATTTGAGATTTTAACACCGGTAGATTCCCAAGTTAGAAATTCTAACGGGAATTCCAATAAATATAACGGTCACTTTTTGTACCTTTAACATTTACCGTGTAAGAATTTTTAATAATTTATTATAATATTTTGCAATTTTAGAGATAAAAAAAATCAAAGGATAATTTTTTTTAACATAATCATATTTTAAAGTTATTTTAATATTTTTAAGTATCAATAATTGTTAAGTTTAATTTAAATAATAAAGGACAATTTTAATGGTGAAAATTACATCAAAAATGTTTATTGGGATGGTTACTTTATTTTCGTAAAGATGTCGCTATATACAAATATTTAATTTAAATCATTTTTTAGATAATATTAAGTATTTGTCGTAGAAAAAGTATAGTATGCAACTCGTTTATAAACTTTTCTAGGCACTCATTTAATTAAGCACTCGCTCGCCAGCTCGCTCGTGCCTAAATTAAATTCGTGACTAAAATGGCGTTAATAAAACTAAATACATAATATACTATTATATCTACTCCTACATTGACGAGCTGTAACTTTATGGTTTAATTAAACTCGTAACTAAAATGGAGTTTATAAAACTTAAGTTGATATATAATATTATAATCTTCATTTAAACATTAAAAATTAAAAAAAAATTAATATTTAATACAAATTAAATCTAAAGTAGGTAACTGACTTGTTATAAAGTTGAATAGAGGTTAAATTTATATGACACAAAAAAGCCTATATAATTTCAAAAATTAACATTTTATTATTTAGTACCTTTTAGTTGTAGCGTTTCAGGAAGCATAAATTTGGTACAATAGAAAGATTGCAATTTTAACAGTATAATTCACTTAAGAAATTATATTGTTGACATAAGTAATTTGTCTGCTTTTTTAACTAAATAAATGTAAATGAAATATATTATCCTTTTATAATAGATGCGTTGCAAGTAAAAACAGAAAAAAATTGGTTTAGAAGGTACCTACTCGATTTGGATTTATTTAATAAAACATTTAATTATTTCTTATACAGGTATAGGTATAGGTATAGGTATAGATCTATCATTGATTAAGAAACTTAACGCTTATATACTTATATAGTTACGTGTGTGTATTTTATCTAAGTGATCATAGTGAATTATTGTGTTATTAATTGTAAATGTAATTCAAGAACTAAACCGTTGCATTTTCATATTTTGTAAAGGGATCCAATTTAATAAGTATATTTATTTGTGCAGAATTAACTAATAATAACTGTACCTAATATATTTTTTCTACTTCCACCGTACATGTTTTCATGACACTAAGTGACCTTTTAAATACACATTGACAAGTTGTGGCTTTATGGCGTTTTAGTTACGGGCTGAAGTTACAGGTTTTATACCATTTTAAATTTGAATTTTTTTAATAAAATTTGAAATTTGTCGATAAACTTGAGTGAATTAAATATTGTACCACTTTAATTTGAATTATCTTAATTTTGGGGGGCAGGAGGCTGGGGGCACACTTAAAAACTAACTTTTTTACTTTAATTTAAATCCTGCTTGCGCAGAACTTGTCTATATAATGTCATTATAAACTCATATAAATTTGATGTGGATAACTGAGATATAGGTGTGCCCAAAATCCCAGAAATCAGTATTGTTAACAATATGATAAATACTGAGAGTATTTTATAGATGAAATAATAATATTGCATATAAAACAAAAATATTGTTTTTATAAATTTGTTAAAATTATTATAAAAGCAGTGTAAAAATTGTAACGATATTTAGTCCGGTGTACATTTTCAAACTGTAAAAGTTGGTCAAGGCACCACATACCTACTAATATAAATAATTTCAGTTTTATATGTAAATATCTTAAAATCTGACCACCCAATTTGTATATACTTAACAAATATTTCAGGTTATGTTATTAACAAATAATAAATAAAGTATTATTTATACGTTAAAAAGATTTAACCATATTCATTTATAAAAAAATCAATTAAAATTGAAATACTTTGTTTTTACTTAATTGGCAATGCAAAAATAAATTTTACCGCAGACAAATTTAACGTTGGACAACAGGTTTAGTCTGAAACTTTTAGATAATTTTAACTTTTATAAACAAATAATAAAGTAATAATTTAAATTTAATATAAATTAATTTTCAATTAGGCATAGGTACCTATATAATAATTTGGTAAAAAAGTTGTATTTATTTTTACTTACCAAGAAATATGGCAAACACAATAGTGACTTTCATGGTACCGTTAACAAATTTAACGTTGCTAAGGACAAGTTTTGTTATATAAGCTTCCCCCTCCCATTTTTGCATACATCACGGTCTCATTTTATCATTGTCATTGAGATGCTAATAAAATAAATAACAACAATAAAACGCTGCAATTCTTCGAAACATACGATTTTAATTTGATTATGTTAATTTCTAGGAAAACAATTCAAATTTTATCAATCATGCAAATGATAAAAATTTATAATTTTAAAAAATAATGTTTTCTCAAATAATAAAATATTCAAAATTTGGTTCCGAAAAATAAGTAGGTATAATCTGAAACAAAAAAATTCTAATAAGGTACCTACACACCTACTAGTATCCATTCAGAAGTTCTGAATCAGAACCAATATACCTATTTATGTATATATCGTGTCATTTCTTTACCAAATTTACTTTACGTCGCCATGCATGATCTAGGTACATCAATTGTTTATAACTTGCTAGCAAATGGCTATTACAAAAAGTAGTTTTTTTCAAAACCATCCACTTAAATAATATATTATACCGTATACCGGAGATCAAAGTTTTAAATAATTTAAAAATTGTATTATATATATATATATATATAGGTTATTATAATTAACATTTGGTTTAGACCATGGCCTAGTAAGTTAAACTTACTTATATATATATATATATATATAAAACCAACATTCATTTTATCGTAACCTGTGTTGCATATACTTATTTGTTGTCAAATAAATTTAATCTAATCTACTATATCCTAATAAATAACATCCAATATTAAATGTTTGCTAAACATTTATCGCCTATAAAAGGGTGTCACGCTAGACTGGGCCAAAAAAATCAACTATTTTTTTTTGAAAAGTATATCGAAAATATGGTTTGGGGTGACAAAAAAAAATTATTAATATTAAGAGGTCTATCATCGCAATTTTTTTTCCGAGCAAGTTTTTGTCTCAGAACTCCCAAACTATTGAGTTTAACAAAATTGACTCAGATATATTTTTTTAAGTAAATTAAATGCTCTACAAAAAAGGTTCAAATGAAAATTTCTGTCAGAAAACCGTTTCCTTAAAATCATGCCTTAAAAATTGGTATAGTTTTACATTTTGATCGTTTAACTTTGGAATTTTGTAATTCATGTAAAAATCAGTACCCAGAAAAAAACCGATGAATATTCTTATGGGAAATCAAATGCTTTACAAAAAAGTTTCTTAACATTTTTGGCTAAATTCACTCAATCAAAAGTTATTCAAGGTTAAAGTTGAAGTCAATACGAAATTCATGTTTTTTCCTCTGTAGATTTATTTTTTATGGATGCCCATTTGATTTTTTCTTTATAAATGTGTATTATATAACTAATTAACAATTTCCAATAAAAAAACTACATGATTGTTATTATTTAAACGATTATATAGGTAACAGTGAAAATAATATTTTCTAAAGAAAATAGCTGCTTAAAGCGAAAAAAGTCGAATGAGTTATTTTTTTTAATTTTCAGTAATTTTAACATTAAGATAAAGATTATCATCGATTAAAGAATTCAAGTTTTTAACTGACCCAAAAAAAAATCTAAACCTTGAATAACTTTTGATGGAGTGAATTTAGCCAAAAATGATAAAAGACTTTTTTGTAGAGCATTTGATTTCCCATAAGAATATTTATCGTTTTTTTTTGGGTACTCATTTTTACATGAATTACAAAATTAAGTTAAAAGATCAAATTGTAAAATTATTCCAATTAAACCTTTTTTTCTTTAAAAAAGTCAATTTTGTTAAACTCAATGGTTTGCGAGTTCTGAGACAAAAACTCGCTCAGGAAAAAAAAATCTAAAATTGCGATGATAGACCTCTTAATATTAATATTATGGACTCAAACTTTCACCCCAAACAATATTTTTGATATACTTTACAAAAAAAAATAGTCAATTTTTTTGGCCGTCTAGTGTCACACCCCCAACTATTTCGCAGTAAGCATTTTTTGAGATTCTGATAATAATAATAATAATAATTTATTTGCAATAACAAAAAAACATACATTAATGATTAAATATATTATATATTATAATAATAGGTTATTTAATTTTTTTAGGAAGTTTATATTGTAAGTTGTCAGCCCACGTGTTTATTTCTTTAGGGTATTAACTAATGAATATTTTGAAAAATAATTTATCATAAAAATATTTTGAAACCCTTTAAAAACGAACAATTTATTTAATTTATAATTGAACTAAAACTTACATAAGAATAATTCATCCAATTTTTTTTATGTCCAAACAATATTAATAATAATAAAAAGATAATGTACGTAGCAAAATAATGCATAATAAAATCTATTTCCCTTAAGAATATTACATAATCTAAATTTTCTATAATATTATGAAGTACACAGGCAAGGCACGCACTAGTTTAAAAACAACCCGTAGACTTAAGTTAGATATTAGCAAGTAAACACATAGGAACGTTTTTTGTTTTTTTTTGAAAATGGAAAATTTTACAAACACAAGTGGCATCGAAAGGTTTATAAAATTATATCCTGTGGATAAGTGGAAGGATGTGGGATTTTTCACCGATGATTATATTAAAATAATCAACCCCCATTGGCTGCAGTTTGATCCCCCCAACAAATATAGCAATTATTTTTTGGCTATCCTGTATATTTGTATTTTTGCCGTCGGGGGATTCGGAAATTTTTTCGTCGTTTTACTGTATTTTAGGTAAGAATTATTTGTGTGGCAATAAAATGGCAAACGCGCATGTATTTTAAAATAACCATTTTTTAAAAGAATTTTTATTGCTAAAATGGCGAATGCGCCAGGATTAGCTTTTTAAATCTGTACCTTGGAATGACAAGGTTCTAAGTGCAACTGCACTATTAATCAAAAATGACTTATCTACGATATTAAATTTTCGCGTAAGGTGGTATCTCCATTTAAAGAGTTTTCATGTAATAGGTATCTTCAATATTTAATAGGTACATAACATATTATATGATTTTTTCTACTCCCACCTTTAAAACGTCCATTATTGTATATATATTTCCATGACACTACGTGACCTTTTAAATACACATTGACAAGTTGTGGCCTTAGGTGACGGATTGTGGATTTTGGGTATACCGATATCTTAGTTAGTAGACATGGGAACCACACCAAACTTATTCTGTGCTTATGAGTTTATATTGACATTAAATAGACAAGTTCTGCGCAAGCAGAATTTAAATTGAAGTTTGCACCCCTAATTAAGATTATTTAAATTAAAGTAATGCGATTAACTATATTTTATCAGCAAATTTATTTAAAAAATCTAAACTAAAGATTTTATACCATTTTAAATTTTTATTATTTTTTTAACTAAAATTTAAAAAAAATAAAAATGGTATAAAATCTGTCTTGGATTTTTAAAATAAATTTTGAAATTTGTCTATAAACTTTAGTGAATTATGAATTGCACCATTTTAATTTGATTAATCTTAATTAGGGGTGGCAGGGGGCTGGTTAGGCGCGCTGAAAAACTAACTTTTTTTCGCAAACTTCAATTTAAATTCTGCTTGCGCAGAACTAGTCTATTTAATGTAAACTCATAAGTTTGGTGTGGGTCCCACGTCTACTAACTAAGATATTGGTATACCCAAAATCCACAATCCGCCACTATCAAGTTGACAGTTGTCAAATGTCATACAATCGTTAGAATAAAGTGCTTTCTTGTAAAATAATAATAAATGTGAAAATTATGTTATTATTTCAATACAAAAATATAAAAATTTTAAATAGTTTTTCAACCCCAATATATGAAAAGTTTATATGAACATTGTACTGAACGTTTAATTTCGCCGGCAGTAAACTAGATATATCTTAATTTCGGGCTCGGACTCCACCGTGTTTTTTTTACTTTTATTGTGAAAAACTGTTGTTAAATTTCGATTTATAACATATACAAAGTTGACATTTGACGGTAACACAGATTCCCAAGTTACTTTGTTGTTTTATAGATGCCCTTTTATACAAATACACTCACAGGCAAAATAATTAATCTATCCAAATTTTCGATGAATTTCAATCGCAAATAACTTTAATTTGATTTCGGATTTAAACGAATATTAAAGAATATTGTAGATAAGTTAATGGAGAATCGCTTACATTTTAAAAATTTACTAAAAAATGGACGTACGTTTATAATATACAGGTTCAAACAAAAATATGTTTTTACCATAAGTTTAAGACACTCTGTAGAGTGGAAAAACCGTATATTGTTCTAAATTTAATTATCAAGTCACGTCTATTCTTAATAGTTTTGTTTTTGGTTCACCTCGATATATTTATTATTGTGGAAAATATGGCTTTAAAAAAAACATTGTTTTTCCAATATTTTTTGTACGAAGAACTAAGGTGGCCACCCATAGCCTATTGAGGATGATAGTGACAGTTTTGTTGAATCATCCCATACTTGGACATGTCATATACGGCTTTCAATAGCTATCAAATTGTTTTTTGTAAATTAATGTGTTACTTTTGAGGTGTCTTCTTACTTTTAAAAATGGATATGTCTTCGACTGATGTTTCCAGAGCCATATGGCCAAATTACCCTAAAAGGGTTGAAATTTACAAAAATTTAACCAAACTTTTGTGTCTGAGGTCGACATTTATTTGTGGGCGAAAAATAGGTAAAGAACTGGTTCTTTTTGGCTTGCACATATTCCCTCAAAGCCCTCGGACTTCAAATTTTTGTTTCCTGGTCCAATTATGGATACGTTGCCCATTACTAGTTACCAACATTTTCCCTGCCTTTATAGTAAAAATAATTGGTCCCAGTTACCTAATGTACCCCTCTTCATCTACCTATATATATATACCGTAAAACGGGGTTACTTTGCACTTTGATGGGTAACTTTGCACCAGTTTTATTAAATTAAAACCAATATTAAAAGGGGTTTATTTTAAAAAAAGATTCCAAAAACAAAACCTTAAAATGAATAAAATTTACAAATTATTATTATATATATTATTATATTTATATATACTTTTACAGCAGTGGTGCAAAGTTACCCATCAAAGTGAAAAGTAACCCCGTTTT